TGCAAAAGATTGTGAAGATCGCGAAAATTAAACCGGCCGTCAACCAAGTATGTATCTATAACTGTCTACGTGTTGCTTTCTCTCACAGATCGACCACAGATTCAATTCCACCCCTACAACTACACGGAGCACAAGTCGCTCCTCGAGTACTCCACCAAGCATGGCATCGTCATTGAAGCTTACAGTAGCCTCGCGTACGTCGTTTCGCACACCCAAAACTCTCCTCACTGTAATCTGACACGAAACGCGCGCAGACCGATTACCAAGTTCCCTGGTGGTCCCGTTGATGCCCCAGTCAATGACGCAGCTGAACGCCTTGGAATTACACCTACTCAGGTTATTCTGGCGTGGGCGAAGGCAAAAGGCGTCGTAATCGTGACGTCAGTACTACTTGTCCTCCGTTCGGCTTCCTGTTTACGCCCATTGCGTTCTAATTCCTATAGGACAAGTTCCACGAAAAAGCACCTTGAGGAGTACCTCGCCGTCGCTGATCTCCGTATGTCGTTTCTCTAGCCAAGTGTTTCCCGCCACCCATCGACTGATGCTCATGATTCTATGGCTGTAGCTCCTTTGACGGACGAAGAAATTGCAGCCATCGATGATGCCGGTGCTAAAGGTCCACCCTCCACATCTTTCATCCGCAAGGTCTCGCGCAAAGTTGTGTGTGGTCTTTCCACGGTTGCTGCAGTATGTGCCGTATACATTTTGGTTAGAGTTGGGATGTATGTATACGCTTTCCGGTGAAGCGGTGGTTTGGGTCTACTTTCCCATGGCGTTATACATTGTTCGCGACCAGCCAAGACCTACTCTTCCATCTATGTGGAAAGAAGGGCAAGCTCTCTACTAAGTTTTGAGCGCGAATTTCATATCAACTCACAAATGTGCAACGCGAAGTCCCCGAAACTTGTCTGCGCAATGTCTGCGTCGTTGCAGAGATTGGATAAGGAATTTATTTATAGATACGTTGAGCCGTGTCAATGTTCGGATCTGCCCGATAGGCAAAAATGGAACATATGGGCTTCACAACGCCCATCATGGACCTCCAGCCTGCTCTCTCCCTCTGCGACCCTGCATCAGTGTACGACTAGTGGAGTATTGGGGTATTGGTATGCCTTTTGGGACCGTGAAACTCAACGATGGGAACGAAGTCAGTCGTCGCCATACTTGTCCGCATGTCCGAGGTTGAGGAACTCAACTATGCTCTCAGATACCTGCTATAGCTTTTGGAACGGGCTCTGTCAATAAGAATAGCAGTGCGAGGGACATTGTCATCCAGGCCATAGAAACTGGTTTCTCTCACATCGACACCGCGCAAAGTGAGTATACCTTCCGCGTTCAGGACCAACCCAGCGCTAATCAACAGCTCCAAAGTTTACCACAACGAAGCTAGCGTAGGGGAAGCCATTCGGGAGAGCGGGCTATCAAGAGAGGAGCTGTTCATTACCACAAAGTACTTCTCCGGACCTATTCAAGAGAGTGTTCGCGACAGTCTGGCGAAGGTCAGTACACGGTGTCGCCGTCGGGTCGCAAGCTTCCGTTGCTGATCGGAAAGGCATGTACAGCTCGGTATCAAGTCCACCGACCTTTATCTCATTCACACACCCGCTACCGTGTTACACGACCTTGAAGGTGCTTGGAAAGAGCTTGAGAAGATCAAGGAGGATGGTTTGACGAGGTAATGTCGACACTCCCTATTTTTTTTTGAATATCGTTGACACGAGTTTCACGTCAATCAGGAGCATAGGCATCAGCAACTTCAACATCGAAGAAATGCAGAAGATTATGAAGGTCGCAAAGGTCAAGCCTGCCGTCAACCAGGTCCGTATCTACTCTCGCTACATATACACGCTTCATTAACAAGCTCTTTCGCCCCCAACCATAGATTGAACTCCACCCCTACAACTATGCAAAGCAGAAGGAGATTCTGGAGTACTCTGCCAAGCACGGCATCATCATCGAAGCCTACAGCAGTCTCACGTACGCCCTTTCACGCTCCTACCTCTCCATTCCGCCTCATCTGACATGACTATTCACATAGCCCGATCACCAAGTATCCTGGTGGGCCCGTAGACGCCCCTGTCAACGCCGCGGCCAAAAGGCTCAGTATCACACCAACACAGGTCATCCTGGCCTGGGTCAAAGCTAAGGGCGTCGTGATCGTGACGTCAGTACCATTAGTTAATCTTCTAGCTTTTGACCACTTATCATGTATGTACAGGACGAGCTCGAAGAAAGAACGCCTCGAAGAGTACCTCGCCGTCGCTGATCTTCGTATGTCCCTTCTCTACTCGATTCTCCATCGCCTCCCCTGTACTAATTTGTGACTAGCTCCTTTAACAGAGGAAGAAATCGCCGCCATCGACGATGCAGGTGCCAAAGGCCCACCTGCAACCCTTTTCGGCGTACGGATGTCGCCGAAAACTGCTCGTAGCGTTGTAACTTTTGCTGCAGCGTGTGTCATATATACGTTATATAAGGTTGGTGTCACTGTCTGAAGTGAATGTATTTTGTTGTGACATGTAGTCTTCATGTGCACTCGCTTGACTCAGCTGTCCGTTCCTTGGGTTCATGCTGACATGACCTTTGGATTGGTTGCATCTCCCGAAGTGCATCTCCCCCGAAGTGAAATTAACTGTTCCCCGGTATGTAGACCTCAACTGTACCAATGCAATGCGGTCTTCAAAGCGGTCATGAAGATGGGACCCGATAGAATCTCTCTCACGTCCGGGATCGTCCAAAGGACTCTGGCCCGCAGTACACATGTACTCACCAGATAGTGTTAAAACTACCACGAGACATATGCAGAATTCACGGCCAACTCGCCCTCTGGGAATCAAACCGCAGTTCTCGTCTCGGCAGACAAAACTCCCCGTGATCCAGGGTTTCGATCCGGAGATCTGGAGGCTTCGAGGACTAGGCCCTTGTTCAACTTTCATCGATTTCTTGGCTGCACCGCTGCGCTCGGCCTACTCGTTTCCGTTAAATAGGAATGCGAAACTCCGTTCGAGACATCATCTCTTTCACGCTTCTCCCAATCTAACACTCATATATCAAGCTCCCATTATCGAATTTTCTATCGATGACTCTTATCTTGGTGCGTCGACTTCAGCGGCTCTGATCACAGTCTTCTCATTCTTGATCCAGGTAACTGGCATCAACGGGTTTGTCGGGTCCCATGTGGTCTTGCAACTCATCGAGGCTGGTTATAAAGTTCGCGGGTGGGTCTTTGTAACTCAAGCATTGTTTCCAAACGATGATGATGTTTTCGATTCCATTAGCACTCTCCGCGGCGGCAAGGTCGACAACTTCAGGAATGTTTTCGGTTCCAAGTTTCCTGCTCTCGAGGTGGTGCAAGTTGATGATGTTGGCACTGGAGACCTCACTGACGCCTTGAAAGGTACCTTCATTCATTCTATTATTTTTTGTCTCGGGATTCAATCATAAGACACCTTCAGGCGTCGACGCCATCATACATGTCGCATCACCCTGGCCCCACAAAGGACCCGGTCCCAAGGAGTGCCTAAGTGTAAGCTATCAGATTCGCGATTTGAGTTTCCTACTCATCCATAAAAGATCGCCGTCGAAGGCTACCTCAACGTCCTTCGCCAGGCTCTCAAAAATGGTGTTACTAAAGTCGTCATGACAGGAAGCTGGGCTTCGAGTATCGATCGTATGTCCATCTGACGCGATATCCTTGCATTCCTGATCTCATATTGCCTTACAGCTACTCTCAAGCAAGCCTTCGATGGCCATGTCAGCACCGAGAAAGGTTGGATTCTATATCCCGACATACATCGATACTGACTGATCACCTCAGACTGGGGAAACGTCACTGAAGATGAATTACTCGCCGGAGAACACGATCCCGTATGGACCTACATCGCGGCCAAGACCCTCGCCGAACGCGTGGCTTGGAAGTTCGCGGAATCAGAGCGTTCCTTGGATCTCTCAATCGGTAAGCCACAAGACCACCCAATATATGATGTCAGCTCATGGCTACTCTCCAGTCGCCCCCCCCTTTATCTACGGACAGTTCGCTCCCGGCTTTCCCCTGCCAGAGCAGAGCACCATGAGCACTAATCAGCACATCTATACCCTGTTCAAGGGTGCCATTCCGCCTCCTCTTCCTCCGTTGTTCTGCGACGTCCGTGATGTTGCCAAGGCACATGTTGCGGCCCTACTCGCGCCCAAGTGCGTCTCCAGCATTGAAGAGAAACGCTTCCTTATTTCTGGCGGCTTCTTAATCTGGAAGGACGTGGTCGAGTATTTGCATCAGACTCGCCCCGAACTCGAGGACCGTCTCCCCGCGCTTGATGCCGCGTTTCCCGCGTTTCCCGGTCCCCCATCTACTATTGACGCGACGCATGCCAGGACAGTCCTTGGGATGGAGAAGTACCACACCTGGAAGGAGACGATTGATGGCGCGGTCGAGGGATTGTTGGAGGCTGAGAAGGCTTGGAACGCCGTCGATGCTTAGGAAAGTAGTGGTCAGCGCTGGGTATGTGTTTGGGAGTTTTAAGAGGGCTTCTAGTAACTTGTGGGTTGGGATGAGTTATATGTTTTAAGACGATCACTTAGGCTGTGCCGCTGCGCATAGAAACTCCTCCATTCGTTTAAATGAGGGATGGGAATCCTCTGTCGAGTCATTATCTGACCCACACTTTTCCAGTGCAATACTCATCTCTCAAAACCCTATTTTCTTTCCATGGCTCTTATCTTAGTACGCGCTTCCATAGGCTCCATATTGGCAAGCTTCCATCAAGCACAAAACCAAGACACCAGCTCTCATAATCACTGACGTTTCGAAGAAAACTACAGTTACGTATGTATGTGACAGTCGATTTCGGGATGACAAGAATTGGTGTTGCCGCCATGAATGGCCGTCGGAAATTCGAATTGGAAGGGTTACATAGTCACTGTAGAGCCCTGAATAGTTGAATCATGTCGTTAGGTCATCGAGAACATTGCTCGTATAATCAAGAATTTTCCCTCCTCCAGCGTCTTTGCTAGTATATCGGTTAGTACACGCGCTTGTCATGTATGTCTCTGTCCAGAGCGAAGCACAATATACGCGCGAAAGCTGGGTTCGACTCCCAGGCAGAGAGACTTTTTTCTTCTTTTGCACAATCTTCATCAGATACGCAGTATGCGACTGTTCACAGGTCCACAGCCCAGGGAGTCAGTACTAGTCAGTGACGGGCCACTTCTTAAGGTGAATATGCACCTCGCGGGTCTACATTTCACCTCGGTACACATTGCCTGAGATCTATAAAATTTGTGGCATTGACTGGATAAATATGAGTACCTATAACGAGTATTACGGGGGAGCGCGCAGTACAGCCGCATGTATATGTTCTACTTTTGCTGCTGCAGAGGGGTGAGGTTCGTAAAGCGCAAAACATAAAGAGAAAGGAGTAAAATGAGGACTATTTGACATGATCGCAAGGAAAAAAACAGGAAAGCACCAGCGATGAAGCGACGGGAAAACAAGTATGGACAAAGAAAGAAAAGGAAGAGCATGGCATAGGGAAAACAACCAAAAGGAATGGGAAACTCAAACAACGTAGTGTCCACTCTCACAATCCCTGGGTCTCAAACGATCCCCTTCACCAGCATCCCCTCCAAGCGACAATACTCAGGGACAATGGCCGCATAGGTCATGAAAGCATCCACATCCGGCTCAGCCACCTTCGCCAGCCCCATCTGGGCCTCGACATCCGCCGTTGGTAATGCAACAACTGGTGTTAACGGTGTCGGGCTGGTGGGTGCCCCGCTACCCGTGCCATTCGCGCCAATCATCCCGGCAGAGAGGAGATTCGTATCAGGCGTCGTGAACGCAGTCGAAGGCGCAGATAACCCTGGGCTCAAGAGGCTCCCTAGCGAGTCCACCGTCGAACCCGTTTGCGTCCGCACCCTGGAGCTATAGCCAAGGTCCACTCCAGTAGAACCAGAACCGAAGGTGCTTCCAGCACCATACATTCCTCCTCCAATCACACCGACCCCTCCCAGCCCAAGACCAATACGATCCTGCATCTCACGTTCTCTTCGCTCGCGCTCGAGCTCCTCATCCTCCTCCTCTTCCACAAAGACCGTCGCGCCCAGCCCAAGCCCTGATCGACCACTTCCAATTCCTCCCACACCCGTGCTGGCGCTCAAACCAGCTCCGGCGAGACTATACGACGTGCCAGCCGCGCTCCCCGCTCCTACACTGCTCCCAGCCCCAGCCAAACCATTCACATTCGTCCGCAGCGCCGCTCCACCCGTCGCCACCCATCTCTTCCCCAGCACTCTCCGCCCCTCCTCCTCGAACCCGACCAACCCCACGCCCATACCGTCCCGATCCCTCGCCCATACCCACCGCGCAACATACGAAGCCCCGAGTGCAGCTCGCCCCGGGAAGCCACGAGCGGGCGCGTTGCGATGCGGGCTGACCTGCGCTGCCTCGACCTGGGAGGAGGGCACGAGCACAGAGGCGTTAAAGACGTCGCCTACAAGGTTCGCGACGGAAGGGAAGTTTGCAGCGGCGCCAGTGGCGAGGACGCGCGTGGGGAGCGGGGTGAAGTCATACGGGTCGAAGGGGAGGCCTAGACTCGACAGCATCAGCGCTGACGCCCGAACATGTGGCTGTGCTTGTGGGGCTGGGGAAGATGAGTTAGGGTTGGAGGCAGGTTTGCGTGGGGTGCCGAGGACGCCTGTGGCTAGCATGCGCGACCATTTGACGCGGAAAGCGAGGATCTGGGACTCGACGAGACACCGGGGGTTGGCACGGAGGTCGCGGAACTCGGTCACTTTGATGCCAGTCTCGAAGCGGTAGATGCCTTTGACATGGGAGAAGGGGAAGCTGTCGTTCTGGAGATACCAGAAACTGAAGAGCTTGTCATCGAGTCTAAAGCTGAGGCGTCAGAGGTTTCGATCGTATGACGGGCTAGAGAACTCACCCTATTGAACCGCCAGGAGGGACAATGGCAACCAGCCGATCGAACGCACTCCAGCTCTTTGTGTACATGTCACGGACCAGAGCTCTTGGTACGTCCGCGTTTCTGCTAGATAACATGGCGATGTATTTCCTTTTCTCCCCAGGGTCCTGGGCTGGATGAGGAAACAGATTATAGAGGCGTGTCGGAATATAATGTTGTGCTGGTGTCAGCAATACATCCATGGGTCCAAAGGAGAGCACAGCATCGTTTTGAGAAGGTAATAGCGAGAGATAAGACGATAGATAGTCTGACGTAAACGGAGCTACGATCGCATCTGTCTCGAAGTCAGTACATGTCGACTAAATCAGAATGCTTGTCACATACCCGGTTCAAATCCATAGCGTTCCACTAGATATCGAGAAACATTTCCAGCACGTCTTCCACCCCCAGAAACATCCACATCCCCGAGCCAACCTCGTACCCTCCTTCCCTCTTCCCGACTACCGCCGACAATGTCTAGAACACCCTCGTCCCAATATCCTGATGCGCCCGGTTGTCCTGCGTTGACTGAACTCGGGTTCGCACCATGCACCCACATGCCAGTGGCGCAGGCCTCCGCCTCGCCCATACTCATCCATTTACCAGCAATTAGACTGCCAAGGAAGGCGCTCGCAAGCTGAACGCGGCCTGTCCGCGCCCATACGTCTTGTGGCCAGCTTTCCCGAACCCGCAAGAGCTGAGCGGCGACCAGGGATGCGTTAGCACATGTGCCAACTCGGTTGACCATGTGATCTGGCCCACCCAGGAGAGCTTCAATCGCGAGCGCATGCGTGTGTGAGGAGATGTCTAGTGCGATGGGTGTAGTGGGAAGAGAAAAGGAATGGGCAGGGAAATGATTGTGTAGGAGAATGTGAGGGTCTAGTGATGAGAGTGATGGTACAGTCGTAGATTTCCACCAGACTAGAGCATGCTAAAACAAAGTCGTGAGTACATAAAAGATAGAATATCTGTCTTCACGTACTTGCGCAGCTCCTCCAATGGACCTTATCCTTGACAAATCGTGGTTTCGAGACAGCTTCTCGAGGAGCATGTCTATTATAAAATGTCACGTGAGTCAGAATAGTGATCGAGATCGGACACGTGTAAAGGGAGATTGTGCCAAATCGAGCGAATCAGTTGGACGCCAAAAATTTTGGTTCCGTTTCGCCTGCACACGTCGTAAAATGCCATGGAACCTTTGACTCACCAAGGCCCTTGATCCACATTTCCACAGGAGTAGTATAAGCATCCCCGGGTGTCGTGAAAATTCCACCCTGTGTTCTGAAGACCCCAGACGAAGCAAGTGGGAGGAACGCAGATCAGAGGAAAGGAAGAAAAATGACACAAGATATGTACGCACTGGTATTCCGGTAGTTCCGTATCAAAATCCACACTCTCCACCCCCACAAGCTCTAGACTCTCGTCGACAATTGTCGCCCGCAGCTGGTCCGTAGCCAGCTCGAGACCCAGGAAGAGGGCCTGTCCGGTTTTATGCCCAGTAGACATCTATTTTGGTTTGGCGAAATATGAGGGTTGGGTCGACGTGGTATCCGGCGCAAGGCAGAGCTGTAGCACAGGTGCGGTATGTGGGCGGCGCGTGGCGGTGAAAGATGCAACTTGAATTATGGCTCGACCGTAAAATGGAACGGGAAGGTGCAAGTCCAGTGGAAGAAGTGTCGGCAGGGAAGAGAAACGTTAGTCGTCGTCCTGGTGGTTGGTCGTGGAGAAACAATGAAGTGCCAACGCACGTCGTTCACAAAAAAGATGGATCCTCGTCCTTTCGAATTCTCAGGCCTTCGCGTCCCATCCATCACACCTTTTATTACATAAGCTGCCACTCTCGGCGCTTTCTCACACTTGAAGTGGCGGTTATTCAGATTTCCCCTGACAACTCCCACTGTAAGCAGTCTGCAGCCTGCAGGAGGAGGTCTGAACGACTTATTTATTTCCAGAGGACGCTCAGCTCTGGAATACGGAGATTATATCCGCCTCACCGTTTCCTGATGGAGCATGACCGCGGATAATGAGCGATTGTTCGCTAGAATGGAGCTATGTCTTGCTTCTCTGTTACTTAGTTGTCTGAAAACCGTTGTGGCGACAGATTAGCGGAAGGTAAGCATCAACTATCAGTCACTCACTTTTTTTGCTCATTTCTCTGCCAGAACCGTATTGTGAAACGTTAGTACAAGTTGTATTCGTATCTCGAAACGGAGACAGAAGAACGTATGAAAGGCTACCGTATCGTTGCACAAGCGCTCTCCGATAGTTCTGCGGTCTATGATCAACGCTCTTCAATTCCTAGCTCCAGAGGCGAAAGCAGATCTAAAATCAGATAATGGAATTGTGGGAAGCCCCAGGGATTACATTCCGACATCGATTTTGAACGTCATGAGAACTCAAGCACAGACTGGGATTGGCATTTCTTGCTTCCTGATATTGGATCAAGATCCGTGAGGACGACACGCTCCATCCACGTTTTCCTGTCTAGTTTATCATGGTGGCCCTTTCATTCTCCGAGTTTGCGTGATAGCTCTGCCTGACATCGCTGACAGTTGGCCTCCCCGCCATGGCGAGTCAGAATGTCGATCACAAATTGAGGCCTGGGGTGTACCAAATCTTCAATTTCGTCAGCGGCACCACCATCGATCTCTCGGGAACCGACCGCAAATCGATCTCAGGTCTTTATCAACTTTTTGGCCATAATTTTCTAGGTTTATTCGTTGTCATCAGGGTTTATTCCACATGAAGGGCCCAACCAAAAGGTATGTATTAGTTTTTGTTAGGTCGATAATCTGCTTAGACGCCACAAAGTGGGAATTTTCGCCTCTTGGGAAGGGGTATTCCATTCGCAGCTTGTTCACCGGAGACTACATAACTGTCGAAGACGAGATTTACGACGGGGTTTCTATCGTCGCAAGCCCGTATCCAGTTAGTTGGGCGTTGGAGGCCGACGATTTCGAGCAAGGCATCTGGCGGTAGGCTTAGCTTTTACTATCATCTCAAACATTGAAATTCTACAATGTTTATCAGGATCGCTTGGCCTAATACTACACGTCTTTTTGTATTTGATCTGGCCGATCAAGGTAATAGCAAGCCTGGTACACCGGTAGCGTGTTGATCATTTCTATCATGGCAAGTGTTGCTTACTT